AACTGCCATGTGATTGGTTGATTAGATAATTGCATTAATGAGAAATTGAACAGGTGTTCCTAATAATCCTTTAGGTGAGTGTATGCTGCCTTGTTGAAAAATGCTACCGTAGTGCTAATCGATAGCCCTAACCCTAACTCCCCAAAACCCCATAAAACCCTTACCCTAACCCTAACCCCTAAAACCTAACCCTAATCCCAAAACGGTGGAACGGCACATGCGCAGGAAGGCTCGATAGCACGTCTCGATAGGTAGTATTTTATGACAGAACACCGGTGTTGTGCCCCGGATTCAGTTCGCTCATGTTCCCCATGTCGAGTGCTGCTTTAAAAATATGACGTCATTCAATACCTTGTACCCAGCTAACAAGTGACGTCACCGTGACGTCAGTGGGCCGAGGTCAATAAAGTGTCCATATTCGTTAACAACAGCTATTATACTGTTATGTAATGTTTAATTTAGCAATGCATGTAGCAATGCTTTGTTGCATAATTACAAAAAGCATAGAACAAAGGCTTTTAAAAAATAACTGCACCTCAAATATGTTGAAAGCATACTACATTACATAAAATAAACAAAAAAATGCATGCATATTGCTTATAAATATTAATTCTTCTTATTATTAGTATTAAGTCCAGGGAAGGTTAAAGCTGCATGGTGCTGTTTTTGCCTGAAGCATCACAAGAGGGAGCAGTTAGTAACAAACAGAGATGATTACATTCTAAAGACAAAACCATTGGAACAGAGGAAAGTTTTGCATTGAAAAGTGAAAGTATTTGCAGGGCTATAAAAGTTACATTTATCAGGGTCTTAAGGATGTTTTCTATTTAATTCATATAGGGTTTAATTATGAATTGGTACCAAGAAACTGTAACTATATGCAAAAGAGATGCTTAATGTCATAACAGCTTCATACTGTATTAGACACAGATGAACCAATATGAAGGTGGCAGCACCAGATGGAGCCATAACCACAATAAAGAGAAAGAATAAATGCCAATACAAGGAAAGGTTATTATAAAGCAGAGGTGTCAAACTGAAAGTTACACAGGACTCCAGCCCCCCTGGACTGGAGTTTGACACCCCTGTTATAAAGCATTCCAATGGTGACACTGCCACCTTTGGAATTGGCTGAACTGAAAATAGCACAGCCCTAAATGCTGCCTTTCCACCGCCTTAGTCAGCTGCCTGGCAAGCAGTGCACTGACAGTCAATAAGCCACTCACCAACAGGCATGTGGGAAAGAAGTTTCCATGTATTTGTACTCCGGCCTTTGTGTAACAATAGATGTTTGAGTTGAGCTCACTTTCAACACAAAGCAACAGTGGGAAAAGTCATGGGAACTGGTGACGTGGGTCAGTGGGCAGACAATAAGTGTACAGAGAGGTGGGGGTCAGAGTGGATGTACAGGGAACAAAAAACAGGGTTGTGCCTTCTGGGGGTGTTACAGCACTCAAGACTTACTGTGACATCAACTGGGAGATGGCACTAGATAGACGGTGGCTGTCTTCTCTGAATCACCACCTACACTGTCCATCCCCAGAGAGAGGCAGTAAGCATTTCGCGATTCAAAAGATCTTTATTGTCAACCTATCATCCAGGAAGAAATATCTCCCTAAAACTCACAATGCTACATTTACATATTTACATACTAACATTTGGCATGATCAGTATATTGTCTAGTCCATGGGTTCCTAAACCTTTCAGCCCAGGACCCCCAAAATAACAGTGCCAGGGCCTTACAGCTCCCATTTTGCCAACTCTGGGGGGTGGGGGCATCCCCTTTGGGTACAGTTATCATTATAATGGAATATTTTTTCATGTTTTGAAAATTTTACTAATATGTTTTGTAAAGCTGACACCTCCCCACTAGTTTCTCGCCAGCCCCACTTTGGGAGCCCCTGGTCTAGTCAATGTATACTCTACATGCTGTACAAGAGTGTACAAGAGTGCTCAGCAGCAGAGAGCACACCATCTAGTCCAAGGCTACTCTGTTTCCCTCTGAGGTCCAAATTCTATCAGCCATACAAAGTAAAGGTCCGGAATAAGGTCCGGAATACATTTTGCTGAACTGGGGGGGGTTAGGGTGCCATCTGAGAGCAATCCTGCATGTCCCAGGGCTGCAGTGTGAGCATGGAGTATGGAGTTGATCAAGGCATGAGACAGCAAGTTCTGAAGCTAGCAGACGAGAGATGGCTGGTATGGGGAGCGCAGACAGCAGCAGATAACAGCCTGAACAACCCAAGATGGATAACTTATTATACAACACGTGTACACAGACACACAGAGTTTATTTTCTTTAGCCAGGTGACGTTTACATATTTGGTGAAAAATGTGGACGTATACATGGCTTTTAGTGTTTGCCATTAACCTCTCACAAACTAAAGATGCATCTGAACCATCTATAAATATCTATACATTTAAGCAACTCTCCCTTTCTATGTGAAACACCATTATGGCTTGGAAATCTGTCATCTAAATGAATTTGTGACAAAACAAAGATGCTCGTTGTCCGGCAGCCTGTCAGCAATTGCGGTGTGTCAAACATATGCAAGCCAGCGGGCTCCAGCTCCAGAGCCAGTTCTGCGAGATCTGAAAAGAAGATGCGACTGTCAGGCACTCATATGAAGAACTGGACCTCACACGAGTCACATGCTAAAGACATCTGAGTTTTCTGCTTTAAAATTTGGGGAAAACTTCAGTGTGCAACGTGGTTTGCTTCTCTATGTATTTTGTCTTCCCCGGGCTGTAAGCAGATTACAGGTGTTGATCAATGGCTCCTCTTGTCCCTGGAGATGTATTATCAGTTGTGATGACAGGGCTAAATGCTGGATAAGGGTTAGGAAAGGCCATTACCCTGCTTCTCAGAAATGCTGAGAAGATTCTGCCATATCTTCTAGCTGCTGGAGGATCATGGACTTTAGGGCACTGTATCTGTCAGGGGAGAAGCCATCTAGGGTCAGAGGTCGGAATCTAAGCCCAGCACAAACAGGAACAAGATAAGCCCACTCCACTGGATGTCTTCCCATGTGTCCTGCTCAAATTTGTAGGCTGGAAATTTTGAGTATCCTGTGACAGCAGCCTGGTAAAGATCATCTTCATGGAACATGGTACTGGAGGGACAATTATAACAAATGATGGATGATAGTCATGGTGATCTATCTTACTTTCTGGCCAACTTTGAGATTTCTCGGTCCTCTTCCTCCTTCAACTTCTCCACGAAGCTGTCCAGCATGGGCATCTCAAACTTGATGTACTGTGCAACCTGGAGGAACGTTATCACTAACACTGTGATATGCCACGATCACGAGTCAGTGACAGTGGAGCAACTTCCAGTAACAGAACAACAACAATCGTGCGTGAAATACGGCATGAATGAAAGCACAGCTGCCAAGAGCCCATTGTCACGAAGGCTCAGAAAACAGGAAAGTCACCAATAAAGCGCTATAATTAGATCTGACCTTCACAATTTGGAACCGTATTATTCATCTTTTAGGCAGAAAGTATGAGCAAGTGGCTTCAAGTAAA